CCCGCTCCGGGCGCCGGGTGACATTCGCCCGCCGGCCGAACATGGTTGGTGCAGAGCGGCAGCCGCCACTTCCTCTCCGCCCCAGCGGCCCGGCTCTCTGGGCGAGCGATGCGGGCCGCGGCCAATCGCGGTGCCCGGCCAGTCCCCGCCACTCGGCTTTGGGGGCCGGCGCCCCTGAGTCGCCCGAGGAAGCCTCAGCGAGTGCGCAGGGCCCGGACGTCGCAGCCGGTGCCTCCACTGGGCCCCGGGGTCTTGGATCGTTGGCCACCCTCGGCTCCTTGCCCTTTAGGAGCAGGGAAGGGAAGGAGGCCAGCAGCCTCAGCCCTGAGCCAGGACTGTGCTCGGGCACCAGGTGAGATGCCCGGGTCAGCCGGTGGAGGCAAGACCCTTGGTGATCGGCTGTAAATAAGACACTAGGGGTTGGCAGTCAAGGCTGTCAACTCGTCCGCTGCCTGGTTTGCAGACCCCCGTAGCCCCCTGTGTTTGAAACTTGGGGACATGTTCCTCCTCCCCTCCTCCCTCTGATGTGGGCACTCCCTGTCCTTGGTTGTGTCTGTGCCAGGGAGGCGAAGTGGTGCCGGGGTTAGCTTTCTGCCCCTGGCCTCCCCTGTGACTGGGACTCCGGGCTGCTCTTGATGAATGGCTCCGGAGGGTGGAGGATAGTTACATTTCCTGTTGTGCATTTTCAGGAATCACCGAGGTTGTCGTCAAGCCTGAAGTCATTTATTAGTTCTTTTACAGCGACTGACTGCAAATAACATTTGAAGTCTGTACTTCTCTGGTGCTTCAGGGCAGGTGCAGGGACGGGTCTGTTAGCCCTCTGTTTACTGAAGGTGGATGAGTGGATGGTAGACAGATGTACACTGCCTGGTCAGGGCAGGGCCCCAGAGGTCGCCCGGTTTAACTGTATCACTCGCACAAGTTCAGGATTCTATGATTTTTCTCAACTCTCTCTCTTTTAACTTGGAGTGGGGGTGTCGCAAAAACAGAAACCAGTACAATCTTGGAATCTTGGAATCTAAGGCAGATTCAGGCAAATGGAATATTCAGGGCTTGAGTTGGCATCTCTTTTAAGGGGTAACTTTGGTACATCTATTGATTGACGGGGCAAAGTCCGGAATTTCACTGTCATTGGTGAATGATTATCATTTACAGCCTTGCTTGTGTAAGAAGTCAGCTTTTGGACCGCGTTTAGATCTCAGAGATCTTGTCTGTTAGGATTTGTTCCTGCTTCTTAAAATTAGACGTATTTCCTTCTCAATGAGTTGTCTGTTTTTCTGCTGACCTTCAAAAGTTAGGAAGAACTCCACATATTTCAGACTGACTTACCTGTAAAAATATCATTGTTATAAAAAATGAGGGTTTGTAATCAAACTGGAAGCAAATTAAGGCAAAAGAGGAATTGCCATAAATTCCTGATGGCTCTGTGAACTATGGCCGTACTTTTCTTGTACCTCACCTCCTGAAATACTTCATTAAGCAAATATTTAATATGCCAGAGTTAGTGAAAGCTGTTTAAATCTAGGAGTGGAATACTTAAAGCTTTGGATATTCAACATTTGATGTATGTTGATTTCCTAACATACCCTATCATTCTCAGCTTCATTTAGTAAAAACTGTTTTATTTGTAGCCTTTTCACTTCAGTTTTTAAAAGAGCAAACAGGCTGCTGAACCGCACAGGGGCTATCACATCCCAGGTCCCTTATCTGCCTTCCACCAAACGGGCTGAAAGTAATCAAGAGAGAACTTATTTATACATTTGGCAAATATTTGTGGGACATGAACTGCCCGATACAGTGGTAGGCTGTGTGAATTCATCTGGAAGCAAGGAGGACAGCTTCCTCAGCTTCTACAAAGGGTGCCTTCTAGCCATGAGCTGACAACCAAAAATAAATACAGTAATTACCTTTGGGGGTTAGACTCAGAAAGGTAATAATACATTTTACTTACAGGGCCGCTTTGGGGAACAATTGTGATACTGTGCATGAAAGAACATTGTGTACATTTTAGCAATTGACAAGTGTGTTACTCATTAACTTTCTAAGCTCTATTAGATTATTGTTAAGATTAACCTATATATATATATGTAAAGCTTATATACACACATATATATGTATATATACATGTGGAGGTGTATGTCCTGGTACGTACCTCTAATCCCAGTATTAGGGAGGCAGAGGCAGGAGGATTGTGAGTTCAAGTTCAGGTACAGACGGAAACCCTGTCTATAAAGTAAAAGTGGGGAATCACAATTAGGTCGATACTTCTGAGGGCATATAAAATAATGGCAAAGGATGAAATAGTGGGAAACTATTAGATACGAAATACCAAGAAAATATTTAACAGTGAAATATTATGTGAATGAAAGTGTGTGTGTGTGTGTGCGCGCGCGCGTGCTAGGAGAAAAGTTAAGTGGTATCCATGGAGAGCAAATGGTATGGGAACAAATGATTTGGATGAGTGTTTTCTTTATTTACTTACATATCAGTTAAATTACTTTATCATAGTGAACTCACATAAAAAACATACAACTAGGTTAAGGTAGCCACTCAGACAAATACTAGCCCAGTCCCAAATTCTCTGCATTTCTGCGAACTTTTATACAGTTATGGCCTTTCTGAAGTCATGGAGCTTCACTTGGGGGTTTATACTTCACTATTAACTAGATTTGTGTGCACTTATCTACCACTAAAATGGAAACCTGTCGCAGGGTTGAAACTAGAGAACCATTAGCTTCATATCCTCTTTCATGACTCATGGTCCCCTTTGCCTACATTCTGTCCTTCCCTATCACCTACTGTGACCCTTTCTTCATCTCTTTTCTAAATAGCATTTGATACCCACACTTACAGCTGTGCCCATATGTGTTACAGTTAGGCTCTGAGCGTGAGAGACAACATCTTTTCCCTATTTACAATAGATACAATACACAGGTTGCACTGTGCTGTGGCCTGAATTCTCTTCACCACTGTTTCAGACTCCTTAAGTGATGGCTGCTACAGATACGGCTTAGCTCGCGTCTATATTTAGTTGCATTGTCTTTGAAGGGTCTTGGGACGCTTAGATTTACCGACTCCTCGAGTGCTCAGCACGTCTG